CGTCGCCCCCACCTCTGGCAGCCCAGGCTCTGGCCCTCGACCCACATCCCTCCAACCACTCTCGAATACTTGCGCAGCTTCCACCCGACCTACCTGCCGACGCAGCCATTTCTCCACGGGGGCCGGTCTCCAGCTATTTAAAGAGGAAATGTCATTTCGCTTCCCTCGCTCCCGGATCCCTGCTCCTCGAAGCGCTCTCCCCAGCCAATGACACGGGCCGTGCGTCCGGCTCCTCCCCCCGTCTCGGATTTCTGGGCGCCCATTGGCCAGGGCGTGCGCAGATGCGCGCCGGGAAATGTAGTTTGACTGCCCCCGCTTCCGCGTGGTCCGGCGTTGGCGGGGGCCCAAACTGAGAGTTCCGATTGGCTGGCCGGAAAGCGGGCGGCCGGCCAGCCTGTGCCCCGCAGGCTCCCGGTGCCTGCCGGGGAAGGGAGTCCTCTGACTGAGAAGAACTGTCATTCGCAAGGGCTGGAGTAGGGAAAGCTTGAAGGGCAAATTTCCCCATTTTAAGTTCCTGTCCTGCACCTCGGCTCACTTTTTTTAACCTTGTTTTTTGTTCCCTAAACCTCCTGTCAATGACTAGTTTTTGATAGGAGAGTGGGCTCTGGCCATGAAACCAGGAATTTTAGAAAAAGGGGGAGGGGGGGAATGGATAAGAGGGCTGTTGTCCAAATATGCAAAAGATATCTGACACCCGACTCAGGAAGCCCAAAGGGAAGCCATCTCAGATGAGTCACCTGCGAAACCCAGTGAAATGCCCGCGAACTTCAGTTTCCACAGATGTTTTTGATCTAATAATAAGAGGGGGGGGGGGTGTCCCTAGAAGTCTTAATCAACTGCAGAGGCTGCTGAGGATCTCTAAGTCCCACGTGTGCCTTGCTTTTCTTCCATACAGAGAGAACACCTGTTCACGCGTAAGAGCCCATGAACGTTGCAAAGGAATTCTAGATGCCTGGCCCTTTGCTCCTGAGAAATACAGGCTTTAGATACTAAGTGGTCTGGGATTCCTTTGAAGAAATATTGTTGACTGCCCTGAGCTAGCGCCAGGGGCAATTATTTACTGCATCTGAGGTCTTAGATAAGAGCCTTCAACTCTTGAGCATGTAAATGCCTCACCTCTAACAGGAGAATAACTTCACAAAAGTGGGTATCCACAGGTCGGGGTGTACAGACATCAATAGGCACTGACAGCTCCTCTCTATGAAGACCGTCATTGCACAGCCCTGTGCCGCTGAAATGGGTTTAACTTTTGTTAGTGACGTCCAATTTCCATTATTTATAATGTTCTTATTCATGTAAGTGGTGGCGTTCTCACATTAAGAAAATAAAAGTGGCATCAATCCTTACAGTTTCCAAAATTAGCAAATAAAAATACAGGACATGCATGATTTGGGACTTATTTAAACTACTGTTGAACTGAAATGCAAATTTAATTGGGAATTTTGTATTGGGAGATCTTATCAAACCTGTTAAAATAAGAATTATTTTTTGTTTTTGTCTCATAGCCATTCAACTATTTATGGCTGTTTATGAAATTTGGGCCTTGAAACAATATTTTCCATTTAATTCTCAATAAATAGACTTTGGGATAATGTTTAGTTAATTAGAGCAAAGTTTTCTGATTCTCTGACTCACAATGATGTCTAAATTGGAGAAACACGAAGAATAAACTCCAGTATAAATAGAGGGAATAAAAGAATTGTAACTACAGAGGTGTCATCTCTGTATAGTACCTAGACTCCATTCTATTAGGCAGATGGCATTACATGGAAAAAAATTTCATCATAATTATAAATGCATTTTTAAAATAATGGTGAGAACTCAAAATTTAGCAAATTGTCACACAATTTCCATGATCCTTAGAATACAAAGGATGTTCTGTTACAGAGTTGATGGTAAATAGCCACAGCTATAGCTTTGTTTCCAAATAGCTATAATTTGACATTTAACCAGAAACTGCTAAGAACCTGCTGCCCATCTGGAAAGGCAGCAGCAAAAATAAACTTATTTTCATCTTAATGTATTAGATGCTATATTGTCCTCCAAAACATTTTTTTAAATTATTTATAGTTTAATGCAAAATCCAGGAAGGATAAAAATTGAAAAACCAGAATATTTGAAGGAATTAAATTAGTTTAAAGTGGGTAGCATTATTAACATTTATTTCCTAGTAACCAAACACAAAGAGATTGCATAATAATGGTTTTTAGAGGGTTTTTTTTAATGTCTAGCAAAGATAAAAGCAGAAGATTTGGAAAATGAGAAAATTGACCTGCATTACCTTGCTTTTTTCTGCCTCCGCTTTAAGAGAAGGACTTGTAGCGATTATCAGCTGTGCCCAGGCCACTGTCGACGATAACCCGACACAACAGAAGAACGATGGCGACTCTGATGAAGAAGGTGTAAAAGAAAATAGAACTTCACTTCGGCAAAGCGGTTCTGCAGTTAGCCAATTTACCTCTTCAGTCCTGGTGGAGGCTGTGAAATTGACCAGAGCTATCTAAAATGAAAGTAGAAAAAGCGCACCTGAAACTCTTAACTTTTAGCAAATGACACCCTTATATATTTACCCTTCTCAGGCCACAGGCTCCCTTCTTGATTGCCTCGATGTGACTTTGTTCCTTGCTGGAGACTTGTGTTGCTCAAACAAATACAGCGGAGACTTCTAATGTGGATTTATTGTAATTATTGGTACTAGTTGTCTTTTTTTAACTTCTGAAGTCTTATATATTATACACTATAGCTCTAACATTCAGTTTAATGATTAAGCATTCATGGACTTGGTGCATTTTCATTTCTTCTGAGACGATGTGAAGGCTCAACATGGAAATAACTACGTGATTGCATTCGGTGGATCTCTGGATTTAATGATGCTCCAACGTGCTGCCATCTAGTCTGTCAATGTTGACTCATAGTGGCCCTGCCCTTGGGAGTTTCTGGGACTTTTTAAGGGAGTAGAAAGCCCCATCTTTCTTCTATGAAGCATCTGATGGTTTTGAACTGCTGACCTTGTGGATCACAGCCCAACGTGTAACCACTATGCCATAGGGCTCCTTTAATGTTACTGGACACTATTAATGCATTAGCTGTATTGTTTTATCTTTTGAGTATTTGGAATTTAACATAGATATTTGAGGGAAAGAGAATGTTAAACTAATGGTGGGTGTTTTTAATTGTTTAAAAATGTGTCCCTCCCTCCTGCATTCTGTACACTGCATTATATATAGTATTAGAGTATGGTTCTTGTTACCATATTGATGGATGCATGCATGCATGCATGCATGCATGGGCAGCTATCACAAGAAAATAAACTGAATCGACTGAAAGTGCAATACAGTAGGGTTTGGTTCCAGCAAGCCTCTGGGCACCTTTTTGCCCGCTCACCAATACTTAGGTTTGTTTTTGTGTGTGTGTGTTTCAGTTTAAAGATATTTTATTGGATATGTGTTAATTCATTACCATTGAACTCATAGCCAACAGCACTGAGGCCACGTGTTTTCTCTGCTTAGTTCTTAGGAATGCTAGGCAGCACTTCAACCCAATACTTGAGGGCCTTTTTAAGGGGTAAAATTACCAACAAAAAGGGCAAAAACATGAAAAATGTGAAACTAAATAGATGGCAAAATGGACACTTGTTTTCAGCATGTATTCTAAAACAAAGTGCAGAACAGCACCTTCATTTCAACTAGGAATATGTACAGCAGGTGACTCAAGTTTTCACTTCTCTGTTCACATATGTAAACTAAAAATATACTCCATTGATTGTGGGGTGACAAACATTTCTGAAATTAAAATACATTTGCAAATATGTAATCTGCATATAATGAGCATCAACTATACTACTTTAAAACTAGACTTTGATATCTTACAGTTGAGTTCATCATAGTTATCACATCATATATAACCCAGTATCATCTTTTGATCCACAAGTTCCATCCTGTGTGATGCCTTAACCTGTTTCCTGTTTCCTTTAGTCCTTATTCTCTAATCAGATCCTCTGAATACAAAATCATACAGAACATTAATAAACAAACATAGTGAAATGTGAGGGTATTGGTTCTAGACACATCCTTCATCTAGGTTCACACGCTTCTGAAGACAGAACCCTTCAGCAAAGAGATCGGCACTCTTTACATCTCACCGGCAGTTAGGGCATCTTGGAGGGACTCAGATCATGTTCCTTTTAAATGTTCTTGGAGTTCTGAGAACAAAAGTCTGTAGGGGCAAGATCGGGACTGGTAGCTGAGAAGTTTCCTCAACAGAATCCTTGTCGGGCAGCCCTTGCTACCCTTGAAGAATCAGCAATTGCTGTGTGATGGGAATCAGCTCCTCACTGCAACTTTCTCTCACCAAGGCTATCTTCAATGTTCTTTTTTTAAAACACACACACACACACACACACACACACACACACACACACAAAGCAATATCTAGAAACATATTTGGTTGTCACAACTTGGGGAGGATTACTGGTATCTAGTAGATAAAAACCAAGAATGTTGCCAAAAATCCTATCATGTTCAAGAAAGCCCCACCAGACAAGTTCAAGGCAACAAAGAATTATCTGGCCCAAATATCAAAAGTGCTAAAAGTGAGAACCCCGGGATTAGAGAGTGTTGGCTGATCTAATTGTTAAGTGGAGGCTGGCTAAGGCATCATTATTACGGTCTGTTAGAAATAGACAAAGTCAAACTTTAAATTTTGTGAAGGGAGTAAAGCCTTGAGAAATGTTGGGATTTCTATAAAAGCCAATTAATTCATAACCTTCAGTCTCTGTGTATCTTAAACTAACCAGAAGTGGGGCATAGAAAATATCTGTCAAGTTTGATGGGAGAATTCTGAAGGTTTGGTGAGAAAATTATGCCTGCATTACACAACTAGAGAGAGCCCTGGTGGTGTAGGGGGTTACAAGCTGGACTGCCAAGCTCAAGTTCAGCAGTTCAAAATTACCAATCGCTCCAAGGGGAAAAAACGAGACTTTGTACTCCTGTAAAAATTGACCAGCTCAGAAACCCACAGGGGCAGTTCTATTCTGTCCTATCGGGTCTCTGTGAGTCGAATGAATGTGATGGCAGTGAGCTTGAGTTTACTTTGAGACACAACCAGAGCAGGCCAGGGAGATGGAGACAGCAAAGGCACTGGATCAGGTGTGTCTAACCCATCCATG